CCCCCCCCCCACACCCATACTTGCAGATGGCTTAATCATGACTACTGTTCCTCCTCCTCCTCTTCCCCCCCTGCCCACCCCCTCAGTACGTCTGGGATAATGCTGCTAACGTAGAGCTAGGCAGTCAAGTGTTACAGCGTAGAGCAGGTAGCCTGGCAACTGAGAGTATAATACTGAACAGATGGTGTTCGTACAGCATGATGGACATCACACATGACAGCCTGAGACAATCCAGGAATTCCCTGGTGATTCGAGGCCCTTTTTACACAAAATGAGCTTGCTCACCATTGCCATGTAGCTTTTGGCTTATTTTCACCCCCCAGCCCCAGCACATACTCCACCTCTTATTGACATCGCACCAACAAACTGCTCCCTTATCACTCACTTCACTTACAGCCCAAAGGGCAGGTTAGTTGTTGGCAGTGGTGGAGGAGGTAGTGGTGGAGACAACATGCGGTGGTGCAAATTCAAGGGGCCCAGGTGTGTGTGCTGAAGCGTAGCTATTTTGAACGTGGAAAAGGAGGGGAGCGCTTTCTGAACCCTTGTTGCAAAGCATTTGACCGTTCCTCAAGAAAGATAATCTGAGGTTGGTGCGAGTGTGTGTGGGCGTGTGTTTAGGGGAGAGAGAAAGAAAGAAAGAGTCAGTTTGTGGGTGTGCACACTATGCCTTCCAGGTAACCATCTTCATGGAGACTGTAATGGGTCATTTGTGGGACATTCTGATTAACGCCCAGATTATCAGTCCCGATACCCCTGGGTGTTATTTAGCCCTCGCTATAGCATAGATCTTTAAAGAGAGCACTGAAAGATTTAAAAAGGAGGAGGGAGTAACACAGACTGTAACCTGCCAGCCCCACATCCCTCACCACACCCTGTTTTCCTAAACAAAGAAACAAACAACTCTTCCCTCTGGTGAGAGCTGCAGGCAGAACTGCAGTGCATCGGTTCTGGCTCCAAATTCGATGTGATACAGAGGGGACTCCTGACACTTCTTCTACAGAGCATGCTGCTATTTACTAATGAGCTCGGGAAGCCGAGACATACCCAGACTGTCAAATTTCCAAACACTGAACAACGCATAATATATGTCTGGGCTCGGGAAGGAAGCAGGGGAAGAGGGAGCAAGCTCTAGGAGCATTTTCAGAAAGGAAAAGAAAAAAAGGAAAGACAATAGTCTTTCCGCTACGAAATCTACCAGGATGTAACAATAGGTTTCTTGGAAAAAATCAAAACAATAGTTGCTATTTCTCGCAATCCAAGTGAAGGTGCTGTTGTATTTTATTTGGTGGTGCTGAGTTTTTTTAACCTATTTATATTAAGCAGTTTCCCTATCACCCTCTTCACAGTTTGCACCCACTGCAGTGGATCCAAGACTAACCTACAAGGCTTTTACAGCACTGACTGTCACACTCTTCATAGCATTATGGAAGCTGTATCCAGTTTAACCACTTGCGGGGATCCAGTTAGGAGGGTGTAGCTTAGGATTGGTTTGGGATATTGGCAGCAGCAGACCCAAGTTCAGACTACATGGAAAAAAACCAAAGAACCAGGAGCTTGAAATAAAGAGTGCAAGTTGTTAGGTACTAAGATACATTACTGAGAGAAGGCGGCAACAGGCACTTTATAAGACAGAAAGACAGACAGAAGTGGCAACAGAACCACAGGAGGGATTTTACAGTATGGATATGATAATGCCTTGCGGGCAGTCAGATACTACCAGGATGAAGTAGGCTTTGAATGCCAGGCAGATAGAGCAGATATGGGTGATAGCTGGATTAGACAGACAGAGAGTCTTCAATTGAGGAAGATTAAGACAGAAAATGTATCAGTGACAAAATAGTCACAGCACTTTCAGATACGTAATTTGCTACCCTGAATAACGAGGATCTCTGCTATCAACTTTGGCATTTTTACATAGACTATAGAAGGCAACCAATGTAACTACTGTACTACAGAAAAAAAATCTGCTGTCTCCCTTTGAAGCCTGCTTAGGTACTAGGGAAGAACTGCTAAAGGAAAATGGCTAACTGAAGTCTTCTTTAAAATTAATTTATGGCTTTTTTTGTTTATAAAAGCTTCAGGCAATTTACCCCTCTCCTCTACATTCTTCTTAGTTCAAAGGAGTCGGAAGATTTTGGAATTCTCTTCGGTACATCCACTTACACAGTCTTCATTGTGATCATATCTGAGCACCTCATAATCACTCAGACATTTTGTCCCTCCTACAAGGCAGGCAAATACAGTATTCTTCCAAATGGAGAACTGAGGCACAGGACTGATTAAATAATTTCCTCCAAAGCCACAAAGGACTCAGGGCAACCTTTCTAGACCATCCTCTTAGTATAGCATTGTGCCCTTTCCCACATATGTGACCACCTTTTTAATGCTGCCACTGACAATTCTGCCCTTTCCATCCTCATTCCTCAGCACTTCCTCTATGGCCAGGTGCTAGATGTGCATGTGTCCGCAAAGGAGTCAGTTCCAAGGTGAGAGATGGATGCACACCACTGGGGCTGCTGTGACCCATCACCCCTTAAGACCAAAACTCCACAATACAAGGTCCTTGGAGTAGAAACTGTCTTACTTCAGTGTCCAGCAAGTGCCTGGCAGACAGGGTTTTCTAATGTAAACAAATCAGTAATAATAAAAATGCTCTTGACCTCTACTGGTGCCTAAGTAACTTAGGGTGCAAGCCCCGTGAGGGGCTAATTGCCCCCGACTAGGATTGCCATCAATGTTTCCTCATTAGACTCAAATTGATCTATGGAGCAGCGAAGCAGTTACTCACCCAGAGGAGCCTACATCATTTTTGGACACTCTGTGAAAGGTAACCCAGGGTCAAATTTAGATTCCCCTACCTCCGAATCAGTCTGAGTTTTTATAGTACCCATCTGACTGAAAAAAGAGAGAATAATACCAACATCAGCTCATTATCTCCACTTCTGCACAAAACCAGGCCAACAAAAGGGTTAAAATCAGTGCTTGAGTATACCCTGGGAAAGGAGAATCAGTCTTTCTGCATCAAGGTCAGGTTTTCAAGGACTTTTTTGAGGAAATAACAAGAAAATACAATTTGTCCACATCTTCACTTTGCACAGTTATTCCCTGAAGGGCTCTCTGCAGAAATGCAGTTCT